GGAAAGCCCTTCTCTATTGACCACTACTGTAAAGGAGCAGTTCACTTACTTCCAATTTAAGGGAACACTTCACTGACCACCAATGTAACGGAGCCCTTCTCCCACCTTCCAACACTGTAATGGAGCCCTTCTCTGATGACCTCTATCGTCAGGGAACTCTGCACTAGCCACCAATGTAAGGGACCACTTAACTGACCACTATTGTAAGGGAGCACTTCACTGACCACCAAAGTAAATGAGCTCTTCATCAACCTCCAATGTAGGTGAGCACTTCACTTACCACCAACGTAAGGGAGTATTTGACTCCCCACCAATGTAAGGGGACGCTGATGACCAGAAATATAAGGGTGAATTTTTCAAATGACCCCCAATGTAAAGGGGGCACTTTACTGACCACCAATATAAAGGAGCACTTCACTGACCAGCAATGTAAGGGAGCACTTTATTGAGTACCAACTTAAGTTGGGCCTTCTCTACTTACTATAAATCTAAGAGAGCCCTTCTAAACCGACCACCAATGTAAGAGTGCTCTCTACTGACCACCAATCTAAGAGAGCCCTTCTCCACTGATCACCAAAGTCATGGAGCCCTTCTACACTGACCACCAGTCTAAGAGAGCCCTTCCCCAGTGAACACCAATGTCATGGAGCCCTTCCACACTGACCACCAGTCTAAGAGAGCCCTTCTCTGTTTCTCTTCTCTGGCCATTATTAGCATCATTTGTTTCATTTCAGTATTATTATTGAAAACATTTTGGCATTGAGAGCAGCCACTGGTGTCAAATATGTAAGCACACCACTTTCCTTGTTCTTTTATGTACTCTTATGTTTCAGCTTACTGTTCACGCTAATGTTCCGTGAGCTGTAGATATAGTAACCATAGGGAGAGTTCCCTGGAACCTGGAAGTTTTTTCAAGGGTTCCACTGTGTTATAAAAGTTGAGAAGGCCTAAAATAGAGGGTGCAGCCATGTTAAATCTTGAGAGTTTCTGGACATCTAATGGACACTGTAAACCTGTGTTATCAATTAAATTCTTACTATAATATTGACTTCTTATGTGAACATTTGTATTGTTTGTTTGCATGGGGATTGTTAAATATTTATTTTAAGTTAATCTTGTTTAACTGGATTGTGTTACACTAAACTGTGGATGTCTGAGGGTCTTTTGGTCTTTTTTTACACTTGAACTCCAGCCAAAATGTGTTTTTCGTCTTTGGATAGAGTACGGAAGGGTTAGAACCACTGGGCATATTTCACCTTGCTTCATGTGTGGTCATAAGAGAAGAAAATCCCTTGGTCAATTATTGGCCAATTATATGTCAGAACCAAAGTGGCCTCTTTCATGGTTGTATGTCGTATTTTTGGTGTTAAAATTATTTACCTAGTTTAATTCTGTGCTTATTGTGTATATGGTAAGTGTTGGGTTAAAGGTTAAGTTGGGGTTTCGGAAGATGACTGAGGGTTAGGTTAGGCTTCAATTCTCGAACAAGTGTATATCAGAAACAAAGTAGTTTGTTTTAGTTTCGTTTATTACTTTTCAGTGTTAGACTTATTTGGCTAGTTGAATGCTGTGCTTGCAGGTTCAAGGTAAGTGTCAGGGGATTGGATTAATGATTAGGTTGGAGTTTAGAAAGAGGGCTAAGGATTAGGGTTTAGGCTAGGGGTTAGGATAGGCTTCAATTCTTGGACATGTGTATATCGAAAACAAAGTGGTTTGTTTCAGTTTTGTTTATTACATTTTTGTTGTTAGAATTATTTTGATAGTACTGTGCTTTTGGCTTCATGGTAAGGGTTAGGGGGTTGGGTTAAAGGCTAGGTTGGGGTTTCGGAAGATGGCTACAGATTAGGGTTACAGCTAAGGATAGGCTTCAATTCTTGGACAAGTGTATATTGACAACAAAGTAGTTTGTTTTTATTTTGTTTTTGTAATATTTGGGGTGTTAGGATGATTTTGATAGTGTAACACTGTGCTTGAGGGTTCATGGCAAGGGTTAGGGATATGGGTTAAAGATTAGGTGAGGGTTTAGGAAGAGTGTTAAGGATTAGGATTATGGCAAGGTCATGGGTTGGCTACGGACCTGTGTTGATGGTCTTTTGTTCTATCTAAATGGGTTTTGCATTCCCATACAAGTCAATGAATGCAAAACCCGCTTGAAGCAAGTAAACTGCAGGTTACAATTAGGGCAACTGCAGGTCAGGTGCACATGTCAATGAATTCTGAATGATGCCAGAAGCATCTCAAACTGACGCAATGGACACAAGCCAAAAGCCTGTTGAAACACAGGCACTTATATACATGGAGTTCTCCTGAGCCCTGCCTCCTGAAAACACACCTCCATCTTCAACCCATTTATAGAACCGACTCTCCCCTCTATAAGCATAGTTTTAGCTTTCAGCTGGTATGCTGTAGATCAGCATATAAAGGCAACAAATTAAGCTAACAGAATTGTTAATGACCCTTGAAGGTATTTGCCCAGTGTTGTGGGGTTTCTATGCCCATCATGCCCCAGTCATAGCCAGAATTGGCTAAAATTGCTCCCATACCTATCCCTCCTTGTGTCCAAAGCTGCTCAGGAAGTATAAAGCTTACTGCGAGAGCAGCTTGAATATTCGTCGGGCCGTCAGTAAAACCATCCAGTCTGTGGAAAGTATTACACATACCTTCTGTTCAATTAATTGTACATTTTTATTTTTCTATTTATTGCCCCGTGCTTCTGCTTGTTATTGCTAATGCTGTTTTGCTGTGTAATTGCAGACCTAATAACTCTGGAGTTGTAACAAAACTTTTTATTTTTTAGTCTTTTATGTTTAATGACTTTTTTTCGTTTTTTTTTTTCCTGTAAGGCAGCCGAGCGGTCATTAGTAAAGTCATTAAACCATATCCCTTACTCTGAAACCGCTGCATAACCAGAGTCAGGAATTTCAGGTTTATAACGCAAGAAAATAACATGCTATTGTGTAGCAAGGATTTCCAAACTCGTAAAAAGCCATGTTCTTGGCAGGGCCCAGCAAAGAGTTATGAAAGAGTGATTAGAAACACTCGCGCTGTAATTGAAGTCTGGTTAGGAGTGATTGCAGGCCTGTGCTGGGATTGCAAAATTCAGAGGGACTGGTACAAATTGCCCTGCTATGGGAGTCTGTTCATTGACAAACAATGCACAGGCCAGCGCCACAATCATCCAGTCACATATATGTGGGCGTTTTTTAAATTTTTTTTGCACCATGTTACTGCCTAGCTTGTCATAATCACCTTTTACGGCACAAGGCCTGGAGAATACAAAGCCTAAAGTTACCTCCTAACATTCTAAGATAGGAAAGAGGAACACCTTCTTAGCCCAAAGTATGTATGTAAAGGACGTACCCATGTCATGACCCTAGCTAAGTGGACCATGAAGAAATAATATGCTACTAGACATGTAAGCTGCGGAAAAATTTGGTTCGTTTCGGATATTTCATTATTTCGGGATCCGAAATTCAATTCGGTTTGGGTTTCGGATTCAGACGATATCCGAATTTCCGTTAATTTCGGATGAGTTTATGAATATTCGTTGCGAATACCACAGAAAACCATATACAGATATTAATACTAAAGCTCCTAGATCCGAATGGCATTCAGGATCCGAATTTCTGAATTGCATTCGGGAGCTCCCAAATGTCATTCGGGTCTGGGAGCCTCAGCTTTAGTAATATATGTATATGGCTCCCAGACCCGAATGGCATTAGGGATCCGAATTTCCGAATTGCATTGGGGAGCTCCCGAATGCCATTCGGGTTCGGGAGCCATATACATATATTACTAAAGCTGAGGCTCCCAGACCCAAATGCAATTCAGAAATTCGGATCCCAAAATGCCATTCGGGTCTAGGAGCCTCAGCTTTAATATTATATTTATATACTCTATATGGCTCCCATGCTAAACCAAATAACACATCTGATCGGCCAGAAAAGTCACATGTCTATTTCAGTCTATTTCAGTTTTGATTTTCAACGAAACTCGGGCGGGATCTGAAATTCTGAAACTTCATCTGAATTTTGATTCAGAATGAAACGAATCGCACATTATTATTATTATTATACAGGATTTATATAGCGCCAATAGTTTGCACAGCGCCTTACAATATAAGGAAGTCACAATACAATTCAAGACAAGATGGTAAGGAGGGCCCTGCCCGTGAGGGCTTACAATCTAAAAGGGAGGGGCAAGTGATACATGAGGAGGTGCACATGTCTATATGCTACACATGACCAGTTAAAGAGGAACTCAAGGCAGACTAAGACTTACCCTTGCAGTAGGGCTACCCAAGCACTGCAAGAGTTAAGTGCTTGTTTTCGTCTAGGGCCTAATAACAGGGATAATAATAGGGATAACAAAGATATATTCTGTCCTGCCTGGCTACTATACCATTCCCTGCAGCCTCTCTCCCCCTCGCTCCTGCAGTCTAAGGATCCATGAGACATCAGGTCTGATACAATGTATAGACTAATATATTTTCTATATTGTATTCAACACAGAGTGGCAGTGGGCTGATGGGCAGAATCAAATATTCAAGCTTGTCAATGTGATCATGACTACTAAAGCTATGGGGATACCATCAGATCTTATTGATATAGATAGGAATATAGTTTTTCTAAAATAAGTGAGGTGTTATGTGGATTCAATATAGCTATTTACTATGTTTTTGAGTACCACAGCAAAATTCACATTTTCTTTTTTTTTTAAAGTAGGTTAAACATGAAATATTGCATGTTAGTATTATAAAGCCTTTTTGGCCCAATTTCTGAAGGAATTTATACTTTTTGCTTGCTGTCATCTATTTCTATATAAAGCTCGCCGTTATTATTTTTTTTTTTACTCTAAGCCTCTGTCTGCTTTTCACATTCGTTCCTCTAAATTCTGTTTGCAGAGATCAATAGCTCAAGCTTACATTTACATTCCATTATGACAATATGAGTCTCAGGCTTGGTTCTCCTTTTCCTAACAACGGTTGTTCTCTCTTTCAGGTGACAGTGACCTTGTCAATAATATGTATGAGCCTGACCCGGATCTCCTTGGCGGTGACAGCGCAGAAGAAGAGACGGAGGACAGTATTATGTCACCCATCCCCGTTGGACCTCCTTCACCTTTCCCCACCAGCGAAGACTACACCCCAAAGGAAGGTTCCCCATACGAGGCCCCCGTCTACATTCCTGACGACATTCCAATCCCATCGGACTTTGAGCTCAGAGAGTCCTCTGTACCTGGGGCTGGCTTGGGCATTTGGGCCAAGAAAAAATTGGATATCGGGGAAAGGTTAGGACCTTATATCATGACACAGAAGACCACATTAAAGGAGACCAACCTAGGGTGGGAAGTAAGTCAAATAAGCCTAATTAACCACAGCCTTTGTCTTTTCCTGTAATGGTTTTCTGAAAGAACCCAAGGTCTGGTTGAGGCCTAGGGCAGAAGGATATGAGGGGGTGGCCTTTTGTGCTGTTTATTCTTCCGATTATAGTGGGATAATATTTCACATTTAAACCATTCTGGTGGGTGATGGCTTTTGCATGATTATGGGCATTACAGCCTTTTGAAGTATAGAGCCAATAAAAAAACAAAAACGATATTACCTTCATAAAGATAACCCAACGATATATATTTTGGCCTCTTCCAGTGTCCCTTATCTCAGCCTGGGACCCCACAATGCATCATCTCCAGCCGACTTTCATCATCTTTAGTTAATTTTGACAATTCTGAAGTTCAAACTGTCACATTTGGTCCATTTAACTCCTTCAATTAACTTATCTGTATATTAACACATATTAATGTCCATTTCTAAACCATGGGCATTCACAGGGCCGGATTTCCCACAAGGCCAACCAAGACCCGGCCTCGGGGTAGCAGGGAGTAGAGGGGCAGCAGGGGTGTGGAATCCCTATCTCCCGATGGCTGAGACATGCAGTTCCGGGCGTCCGGCAGGTAGTTGTTTTCTACATTTAACACTGCTTTGGGCAAGCAGGGCTAAATGTACAGTGGGGAAGCCGCCGCTTGTTTTGTACAAGCGATCTCGGCGATGTTGCCGAGAACACTTGTATGCAGCCTGCATACAGGGAGGGCGCATTGAGGAACCTGGCATTGGGGAAGCAGAGAGAGTAAATCCGGCCTTGGGCATTTATATGGAGTTGGCTCCTCATTGCAGTGATAACAGCTTCCCCTCTTCTGTGAAGGGTTTTCACAAGATTGTGAAGTGTGTCTGGGGGAATTTGGGCACATTCAGCCAAAAGAGCATTTGTGAGGACAGGTAATGATGATGGGTGTGAAGACCTGGCTCACATGCAGTGTTCCAAATAATCTCAATGGTGTTGAGGTTTGGGATCTCTGCAGGACACTCAAGTTCTTCTGCCCCCAACTCATCAAACCATGTCTTTATGGAGCTGGCTTTGTGCTTAGGGTAATAGTCATGGTGGAACAGAAAAGGATCTTCACCAAACTGTTACCACAAGGTTGGAAGAGCACAGCTGTCTAAATATCTTTATGGGCATTCCAATTCATCCCTGAAGTGTTCAGTAGGGATGTCAAGTCTCTATGAAGGCCACTCAAGTTCCTCCAGACCAAACTCATCATACCATGTCTTTATGGAACTGGCTTTGTGCTTAGGGAGAATATTCATTCTGGAACAGAATGTATAAAATGTCTTAATGGGCATTCGGGTTCATCCAAGAGGTGTTCAGTAGGGTTGAAGTCAGGTTTCTGTGCAGGACACTCAAGTTCCTCCACACCCAACTCATCAAACCATGTCTTTATGGATCTGGCTTTGTGCACAGGGGCACAGTCATGCTGGAACAGAACACTAGTCACAAGTTTGGAAGAACACAAATGTCTATTTATGCTTTAGTTTTAATAATACTCTACATTGGAAACACCCGAACTCAATCTTTTGGAGTCCTGATACTTTTGGCCATATAGTGTATATGTCTTAGCCAATACAGTATATAATTTATTTATTCCCTATAGTCATATTAAAAGTCACAGAATTGGACCTGTAAAACCAGCATCAAGCCAACAGTTAGTTCTGGCCCAATTTCTGAAGGAATTTATACTTTTTGCTTGCTGTCATCTATTTCTATATAAAGCTCGCCGTTATTATTTTTTTTTTTACTCTAAATTCTGGGAGTTTCCACTGACAGAACATTCTCATGTGTCTCTTGAGCCCAAAGTCTACGTGTCCGAGATGTTTGCAGAAAACCCCCAGTTTTGTTAAAAAAAACCTATTAATACAATGTATTTGGATGTTTACCGGCCGTTCTGTAGAGTAGTCATTTTAAAGAAAACTTTATTAATTTTAGAGGAATTTTATTTCAAAATTGTAAATGTTTTTAGGTTTCTAAAAATATATTTGTTGTCCCTTTTTTTCTTTTTTGCACAAAATTTTAATTTTCTAAATAAATATTTCATACAGGGTTCCTCCAGAATAATGTGTATGCGAGAATTCTGGGCTAATAAGACAGCCTGGCAGTAGCTGCTCACTTGTGGGCTGCCTCTTTCTAATGGATACTCCATACTGAGCCCTATAAGTTAGAGACAAAAAAAAACAAATATTTAGGATTTAGCCTGTTTGTATGAGCTTATAGTAAACTTGTGCTTTGCTCAAACAACAAGTTAAAGCTGAACTCTGGGATAAGCAGGTATGGTTGAAATACAAGAGGAATGTGTTTCTGTACTTGGATCTCAGTGAGCTTTGTGTAGTTCTTCCAGATCTGTGCAGTAATCCTGTGTGACACTTGAAGCTTCCTGAGGACTGGTCATTGCTGCCCTTTCTCCTTGTGCAGGGTGACTGGTCTGGTCTCCACCTCCTCCTGTAATAAAGACTGCTCACTGCTGCTCTCTCACCTTGTGCAGGGGGACTGGTCTTGTCTCCACCCCCTCCTGTACTAAAGACTGCTCACTGCTACTTTCTCTCCTTGTGCAGGGGGACTGGTCTTGTCTCCACCCCCTCCTGTACTAAAGACTGCTCACTGCTACTTTCTCTCCTTGTGCAGGGTGACTGGTCTTGTCTCCACCCCCTCCTGTACTAAAGACTGCTCACTGCTACTTTCTCTCCTTGTGAAGGGTGACTGGTCTTGTCTCCGCCCCCTCCTGTAATAAAGACCGCTCACTTCTGCTCTCTCTCTCTTTGTGCAGGGTGACAGGCCTTGGTGATACCTGGGTTTGTAAAGGCATTGGTGCTAACACAATAGTCATTGCAGCTATTGAGGAATATATTTAATTAAAAGTTTTTTGTGCCCAGAGTTCAGCTTTAACCTAACCAGGTGTGGTGATAGGTAACTCTGTAAGGTTCAGGTCATTCTGATTGGAGTTTACAGAGGGTTATGTCAACCCATATTAAAATACCAGTGCCTGGCTATTAGTGGAAAGAGGAAAAGTCCTAATCCCCCCACTGCAGGAGGGCGAAGGTGAGGGAATTTATTGGGTGGGTTGATATTTGAGTTACCTGTGACTGTCACAGTCGGTGAACTTCACAGATGCCCTTAGGCGTTGGCCTACGTCTTTCGAAGTTGATGAATGCTCTTCTACAGGTTCTATTAATAACCAATATAAATTAGACATTCTGCATCTTTAAGAGCAAAACATGTTATTTATCTAATCCGACCAGGACTATCCAACGCCGCAAATGTTACCTCCACCGCCACAGGTAATCTAAAATTTAAATGTCTCCCCGCATGACTGATGTCGCCATTTTAAAGGCCAAGTTGGGCGAGAAGTGTTATTTGTAGAAGGCGACCTGAGCATTGAACACAAATTATTCCGTGTGATACACAGTATGAGCAGACAGATGCCTAGCCCGAGGGGATGTTCCATCACTGCGCCAACTCTCCCTCTTCTCTGCCTATTGCTATACAAACCATTTATTTCAAAGTCATTACACTCATTTCATGGGTAGGTGATGGGCGGGTTACACCTCACTAGAACCTTTATATTAATACTCATCTCTGTGTGTTCTGCTTCCATTCAGAATGTAACTAAAATACACATACACTATCTATCTATCTATCTATCTATCTATCTATCTATCTATCTATCTATCTATCTATCTATCCATCTACCTACCTACTATCTCTCATCTATTAGTCAATCTATCTATCTATCTATCTATCTATCTATCTATCTATCTATCTATCTATCTATCTATCTGTCCAGAAATGGACAAAGGCAGAATGTGGGCCTAGGCAAGGTAGTAGTTTGGCCTACCATCCCTTCTTTTGACATTTGTAAGGACTGAAATAGCCACAGAGACATCTCCCCATATGCTGCACATTGTCTGTATAGGTATGGCCAGATGGCAACTTCCTACAAGTACTTCCTCCCTTGTGAAGCAAGAGCCTGGTGCAAAGCTTTTACTGATTGCGCTATCCCCGTGGCTTACTTAGGAGAATGAAGGTTGTAGCAGGGCCCCTTGGACATCTGGGATCCTGCCTAGTTTGCCTTGTAGGTGATGTGGCTACCATCAGAAATTATTGGACCTTCCAGGCCTTTCTATGGTCCAACCCTGACCATAGAAAGGAGTATAATCCTGCAAAAGAAACCGGTCACCTTTGTGAACCATAAACAGAAGCAGCATTGAGAATGTCACGTACAATGGTGTATTCCTGATGCAGCAGAAAGAACTTTGATGGTTCTTCAATTAACCTTCAGACAACTTTTCTCTTATCCTGATACGCGGCTGTATTTACTTTCTTATTTTTAAGTAATGTTCCATATCTCAGTTACTCATTGAATGTGAAGCCTGGTACGGGCAGTTTCTATTATTTGAGATTCTGTTGACTTTGCGATATTATTTATTTTTGGACTAGGTGAGAATACTTTCTCCATGGCGCTCCTGTTGTTCCTCTGGCATTCTTTTGTTCGTTGATCGTGACCTGACAGCCAACTTTTATACCAGCATTTAAAACTATTTGCCCTCAAACTAACGTCCTCAAACAGAGCCCCGGACCCACCCAAGCACTATCTCTTTTGACCTTGTATTCACATTTCACGGAGATAAATGACTGGCTTTGTATGACATCTTTTATCTGGCACCTCTATCTGTCTGCAGGAAATTTTTACAAGATTGAGGTTTAAAGGCTGCGGATTCTAAAAATGCTATTTCTTTTTTTTTTTTTTGTGCCTCATTTCTTTTTCATCTCTGTACAAGGGTTGGATTCTCAGCGTCTCTGTTCTAGCAAGTGCTGGAATTCAGGTCCTCTTTCTGTTGGAAATAGATTAGAAATCCACAAAATGTAAACACAAAAAAACCATCTGGAACACCAAGTTATTACATCAAAATAGGAACGCTTTCAATCTAAAAGCTTAAGGGGTTATTAAACCCTTGCATGTTTA